TCGCTGTCATAGCTGGTCTTATTGAACAAGAGTAAATAAATAAAGCGTTGTTGGCTTTGCTAGTATATCTTTAGTCTCCTTTTTTTTCTTTTTTTTCTTCTTTTTTTTCTTCTTCTTTTTTCTTTTTTTCTTCTTCTTTTTTCTCTTTTTTTCTTTTTCTTTTTTTCTTTTTCTTTTTCTTTCTTTTTCTTTTTTTTTCTTTTAACTTTAATCTTCCATCGCTCGAGAAGCGCCGTGCAAGTCGCGCCAGTCTAATCTGGTGCAATATCGATAATTTTGACCGTCCGCATAGGTATGATTATTGACAATTATAACGCAATCAATCTCCTCCTTTCCCTCTTCCATCGACGCGAAAGTGGCTTCTACTAACCATAGAAAAAGCCTCTGAAAAGATATCCCCTGAAGTCAAAACCTCTCGTCACGCGGCTCGTATGGCAGTGATAGATAGCGTGGCTTGCACGGTAGTCTAGTCGCGATTCTTGAAATTGGTATCATCGCACGAACACCACGATTTCTTGATAGCGAAACGTTGTATATACGCTTTTAGCCTATTCTATCGTATTGACACCTCACTCGAGTTTCCAAAACCCTTCCTCGTCGGGGTGTAAGCCGCATAGAAAATATATACTACTATATATAATCACTGCATAGAGCGCCACTCTCAATTTTGAGTATTGAGGCACGGAGAATTATGCTCTACTACGGAAAATGTTCGAATCATTGACCAATCTCTCCGTACGCCACAGTGCGCTAAGCCCAACCAACCCCCAAGCAAAGCAAGCAACCCCTAAGCAAGTCAACCCCCTCCCCCGAAGTGAAGTTCAAGGCTGAAGCCTGAAAAATGAAAAACACGCCAAATAAAAAATAAAATTCGAATAAAAAATAGAGAAAGCGAAACTTGCCCCTCCCATCTTTGAAAAGCTTGAAAGCCTGGACCAAAGGTAAACAAAAATAAATGAGGGGAAAAAAAAACGTTCCGAGTCGGCGAGTTTCCGGCCCTGAATAGATCAGTTTAAATCAAACCAGGTTTACCGGAAAAACAAAGAGTTTTGGCGTTTGGGTTCGGGTTTTAAGTCTCATCAAGGAAATGAGGGGAGTAAGGAAATTACGTAAGTAGAAGAACTTCAAAAATAGAAAAACGGCCGTTTGATTTACCGGACGGGAGGTATAGGGTGACTTCGCTCGCAAGTGGGTGTCGGTCGGCTAGGGTGATCATTTTGAATGGTGATTCTGAAATATGGAATTCGATTCTGCGATGTACAGAGTACAGAAGTACAGCGGTTAAGTGAGTAAGTACTGTCCTTGATGGAAAGCAAAGGGGGCGTATCCTGTAGAGCCTAGACTTGACCGACCTAGTAAAGTAGTAAGTAGTATTTCCCGTATCGAGAAGAGAGGCGTCGGTATACCCCGTACTCCGCATGAAATGGAAAATCAGTCAGTGTTTTGTACTACGTAAATCTGCGGAGTCCTTTCAGCCTCGGCTACCTATAGCTTGATAACGAGCGAGCTTGCTTGCATACTCTCTTTCGATCAACGCTTTCTTTAATTTCAAATTCTCCGACTATTTCTTATGCATTTTTGATGGCTTTTTGTAATCCAACCGATCGTAAGTTGTCGTGCGGTATAGGGCTATAATACTGGAAACTGCAATGCGCATTGCAGGTCTGCTTTTGCATAACAGTCAAGAGCCGCATTCCCTCCGATAGCTTAGTCAGTCGATCGATCGCTAGCTGTCATTTGAACAAGTTTTACATATGCAATTTGAAGTTTTAAAACCCGATGCTATCCCGTTATCGTCAGCTGCGAAGATGCATTTCGATCTAATAATTACTTAGCTTAATTAAGCGGCATCGCTAATCAAAAATCAAAGCAATACGAAATAATAGTAAAATCTTTACGTTAGCAAAAAGGCTATCAAGCAAACAATGCCGTACAATAACAGCCGCTACATAATAACCGCTACGTAATAATATACAGCAATCGGTAAAGCGTTTTAACCAGCCTTCTCTAAGGAGTGTATCATGCGGTATATCGTGCGGTATAGGGTTATAATAATGGAAACTGCAATATGCATTGCAAGTCTGCTTTTACACTACGTAAGTTATATTCTTCGAGATGATTATCTTAAAGATAAATATAATATTTAATAATATGCTAGACTATAACCTCTCGTTCGGATTAAATTAAGATCGAAAAAGAAAAGGTCACTAAAACTTCAAGATAGTATCGATTCCCCGTTCTAGAAGGTCTTTTTTACGTAGTATATCTCTTGCGGCATGCATGTTTCGGCGTTGAATCTTATATAAGAATTAAATATCTGTATTTTTTGACGCCGCATTATCTCGATATAATCGTGGATAATGACGAAGGAATCGTATATTGATTGCTACGGCTGGAATAAAATAGTATTTTAGTACTATCTAATCGTACGCTCGGTATGAGAAAGAAGGAAGGAAGAGAACTACAATACAGGGCCGAGAGTATATGCATCCCCGGGAGCGTGATATCATGTGACATCAGCTGATTAATCCAACCCCAAGCAACCAGCCAGTCAGAACCCCTAGAACTTTCCATGCCAAGAGGCCTGCCACCGTAATGTTGATAATACAATTCTTGATTAATCGAACATTAATCCTTCTTTAAAAAGATACCCGGCCTTTGTGTCTGTTCATAGAATTTTTTTTAAAAAAAAATCTAATTATTTTTTCGTTGCACTCGTTAGATAATATAGGTATTGTGATAATCATTGCTAGCTTTTCGGGTAACCCAAGCCCGCGTATATCTTCCTCCGGTAATCCAAGTCTTATAGGTTTATAAGATTCAATACTATTGATCTATGATCCATCGGATTTGCTCGAGAGCGTATCGTAATAAATTCTGGGGGGTTTTTTGGTTTTTTTTTTTTTTGGAACTCGAAACGCTTTCGCATAAAGTAGCTCGAGTGGTCGGTTTAAGATTGCAACGAATTTATCGAATCGTAAGTTTACAATCGAGGTGCTCTTGAATTTGTTTATAAGATTAGCAGATTGAATGAAGTAAGATAATATTACGTCGTTGGTCTCGAGTTAATTTTGAAGCTTTAGAATGCTTCATTGAAGCCATCGCTGCGGTGCGTTGAAACGAATTACCTCGATCTCGTAGGATAGAGTGAATAGCTAGTTTGCTCGAAATTTCGAGGAATCACGTTCCTACCTGATTTAGCTAAACTTGGCCTACCCTTTATCGGACCAAGGACAACACTTAACCGCTGTACCTCTATATTTGAGGACTGTAAGGCGTGCTTTCGTAAAATAATGTCTTTATGGCGATGATTGGAACCTCAAAGCGATGAAATACCTCGGTCTTCAATTCGGAAAGAGTGGAAAGAACAACGGCTCTGATTTCGAAACGAAAACCCGCTGCGGCACGCAAGGTTGTGATGGGCTGACGGGGATTCTATTGGCGAGGTGCTGTTCCAAGAGTTTATGCCGTATTGCAAGTAAGACTGAGTAACTGAAAAAAGATTAGAAGTTATCATTCCAGGGGGCGTCGCTGCCTTTCCTGAATCCGGCCGGCCAGTCCCTCGAAGACACCCGAAGAATAGGGGCTCGGCTAAACTGGAACGCCAACTCCTTTGTTTTGATTCATGTTCTAGCCTAACGGGACTGCTTTCGATGCAACGAAAAGAGGCCTCGGATAAAAAGATGTAAACCAATTCCCCAAAGCTGCGAAATCTGTTCGTAACGCCTCCTCCCACTGACCCCCAGGGCGCATCACGTGCCCGATATCCCGGCCAGCGCATGACCAGCTGTGCAGGCATCCTCCAAAATCTCACACCTCCCTCAATCCTCTGCACCACAACCAGCCTCACTTCTGCAGATCAAGACTCAGCGTTTACATCAGCCCTCCAGCCCCAAGAATCCGGATGCGTGTGATTGGGCAGCATGAGGCCAATTAATATCTCAGCCGCTAAGCAGCCGACCCCCAGGGCCCCATCTCATCCCAAGCCCGGGGGATCAAAAGGCATATTAAACGTCCGATTCGCGCCACGTCCTGAAAACTTTCGATGGAAACCTAAAGCTCCCATACAAACTTATTTTCAGCCTAAGATACACTCCGTACTTAAACCGGCACCGCCCTGCGTACGATCACGCGTTTTGATTCTTCCGATATCAAGCGAGACGTGCCTTTGGGATTTATATACAACTCCTTGACGGCCTCGGGAACGAGTAGAATACACATGAGAATGGCCGGCTCAAAACCAGTCAAGTTCTATGGTTCACAAGTTGGCGGTTCCTCCACAACCCCACACTCTTACACCGGTTCCCCCTGGGTCCTCCTCCAGCACGATATCGCCTCGGCCTTCCATTACATCCTCTTCCTCCCCTTCATCATATTCCCGCTCTTCCCCCTAAAATCCGGCCCGCTATGCGAGCTCTACCCATCCTCCGCCAACCTGTACGACATTTCCCTCCATATCATTCTCATACTGCTGCAACTCCCATTTGTGCTGAGCGTGCCGTTCTGGGTTGTGTTCCCCTTGTGGTGGGTGCTAATTGGAGTTGCGGTTTTCGTTGGTGTTAACGAGGCAATTTGTTGGCTGTTGAATGGCAAGGAGATGGAGGTGTGGAGTAAGGATGAGTATGTGGAGGGGAGAGGAACGTTTGAGAATGAGCAGTGGATTTTCCTGAATGGGGTTGCTGCTGGGTTTGTTTACTCCAGTACCTCTCTCCGATTTTTCAATCTAACATTATATATAGAAGAAACTGGTTGCAGAATAATGTCGACCGGCTAGCTCTTACGTTTGGACGTCCTGTATTAGGAGTCCACAACAGAACGTAAGATTATAGACATTGTTCCGCCTGTCGAGCGATGACTGACGATCCTCAAGAAACGGCATAATTTTCGACGTCGTCCAATGCCTTATCCAACGCAACTTTACCTACGCAACCCAAGATGTGCGCGACTGCTACCAAATCATAAAACGCACTCTCTACCAACCTCATCTCACGAAAGTGATTTTCATCCTCCACTCTCAAGGCGGAATCATGGGCGGCATGATCATCGACTGGCTCCTCCAAGAAGTCCCCCAAGACCTCCTCGCTAAGCTCGAAGTCTACACATTTGGCAACGCAGCGAACCACTTCAACAACCCGCACCTGCATCTCCTGAGCCAACAAGCAGCGCTTCGGTCCCCTAGTAAGCCGTACACGACGAAAACCACCACCTCAGTACACTACCACGACCCCTTGCCCAACGGAAATCACCATCAAAACGGAAACAGAAATGGGAACGGAGACAGCAACGGCACAGTCCTCTCCCCACCTGCAACCCACTCCCAAACCTCGCGCCAACAAACCCCCTCGGGGAAAGCCATCCGCTACATAGAGCACTACGCACACACGGCGGACTTTGTCGCCCGCTGGGGTGTCCTTCACTTCACCACCGCATTCTCTTCCTCTTCCTCGCTCTCGCCCATGGCGCCGCGCTTCATGGGACGGGTGTTCGAGCGGGAGGGGAAAGGCCACCAGATGAACATGCATTATCTCGACGCCATGTTTCCCCTCAAGCCCGCACCGGCTCCAACACCACCACCACCACCACCAGCACCAGCATCTACTACTACCCCCCCAAACCCTTCCAACCCCAACCCCATCCTCATCCCCTCCGTCCTCTCTCGAATCGCCACCCTCTTCTCCCTCCGTTCCTGGCCTCGCAGCAGCAGCAAAAACAAGAACACAACAAGCGCGAGAGGCGGAATAGGCAACTCGGGCTTCCTCGGCTGCGACGACACTCCCGCCGCAAACGCCTTTATGGAGTCCGTGCTCGAGCTCGGAGCAGGAGCAGGAGGAGGAGGAGGAGGGAAGCATAAACGCGGAGTCGACGGCCGCCGCGAGGGCTGGGCAATGTCGTATCTTGGCGCTCATGGGGAGCCGCTGCTGCATGGAGGGGGCGAGAAGGAAGAGGAGCAGGAGGAGGAGCGGGAGCGGGAGGGTTCGTCGCTGAGGGATAATATGTCGCCTATTTGGACGGGAAAGCGAGGGTCTAGGATGGGTATGGGTATGAGCATGGGGATGACGCCTCTGGAGGCCAGAGACGGTAGAGGTAGCAGTAGCGGTAGCGACTGGAAGCTTGTTAACGGCGATAGGCCGCCCCTGGTTACCCAATCGAATAACGGTAAGATCAAAGACGGCGGGGCCGCGCAGGACAGGGACACAAACAGCGAGGACGAGGAACGGGAAGAGGAACGGGAAAGGAAGATGAAGATGAAAAATATGGAAAAGATGAAAGAGATGAGAGAGATGGATATGAGGTTCCAAGTCAAGGATTTTAGTAGATTGTGGCTCTATCGCAATGGGAGGAGTCCTATGACGGACGAGACGGATATGGGGATTATGAGGATGGCTACGCTATAGTATATAGCCAGCCAATCCTTATGTACCTATCTTATGTATCTCATGTATCTCATGTATCTCATGTATCTCATGTATCTCATGCATCGTATCCTTGTCTGGTAACCATTCATTCATTCATTCATTCAATCACTACTACTATTTTTTGGTTGAGGTTCTGTAGTGTGAGGGTATGTTAGGATATACTGGCTGGCGTGTTGGGTAGGCAGGTAGGTATGTTTGTTGATGGATGCTTTCTTTCTTCGTTTGCTTTGCATTTCACGACTTACTCTTTCTTCTCTGCTGCCCCTCAATACGAAACAAACACAGGAAACACAGGAAACACAGGAAACACAGGAAACACAGGATACGCGCGGGCGTGCTGACTTGGAACTTGTATCTATATCTGAAATTTTTAAAGGGCGCTCAAGCGTCCCATCCCATGCCACGCTCCCCATGCTTGTTTATGCCAATAACTCAAAATCCGAGACGTAATATTGCCCTTGCTCCTCTACCAAGCCACGTCACCCATCCCACATTATTCCAGCAATAGCTACACTATTAACTCCTTTGCTCCCACACAAACCGGACATCCGTCGCGGATTCGATCCCTTAGCAGCCTCGCATGCGTAACCTTGGCGCCAACACTATGTGTCCCCTCGTCTCCCTGCCTCCATTCCCCATTCTCGTCCCGCTCTACATCAGGCGGCGTTAACGGCCTCCCGCCATTCCCCTCACTCGTGAAGTTCAGCAGATGGGTCAAGTGAAACACGTGTCCACACGCAAACCCGACCAATGTCTCCATTTCCTGGCCCGAGAACGGGTTGCGGCAGCCTACGCAATGGCCCGGCGCGGGCAGTGCCGGAGCTGTAGCGGCTTCGGTGAAGTCGCGCGCGATTTTCGAGGAAGCCACTCCATCAGTGTTGGTTGGGACATCGGAGGCCTCGACATCTATGTGGTCCTCTTGTTTCCTGACCACGTCGAACTTAACGCCCTTTCTTTGCCCGCTTCTTAGCGTCATTTGCGCGAGCGCGACCTCGCCCCGAAGAACGCGGGCCACGCCTAAGGAGATGCTGTGTTGAATTTCGTACTCCTTTATCATTCTGCCCAGTCCCTCACGAAGGCCTTCGATTTCGAGACCTTCTGGGATGCGACGCACGAGTGTGATAGGATCGATGGCTGTGCCTACTTCCTCGAGCAAGCCGCGGATGAATCGCGGCTTGTCCATTGAGTAGTCGAGGAGGTTGGTCCATAGATCCGTGTCGTCCTGCGCTTTGCAGAAAGAGATTGCTTGCGAGACATCGTTAAGGCGCTCGATGATCAGGAGCAGGGCACGCTTAGGCTGCCCAGTTTTAGAGTAGAGATAAACTAGTTCGGGGATGTAGTCACGGTCTTCGCATTCTTGTGTCGCCTGGGATTTGTTAGTGGATTAGTGTGGAGGAGAGGGAATGCTTACGGTTTCAAACGTGTAAAAGGTGGAGGACTTGAGGAAGTCCATTAGAAGGTCTCGGTCATAAAGGGCAAAGAGGTGGACGGCGAGATCGGCTAGGTCGTCGACGAGAGATTTACTCTCCGAGACGAGCCTTTCTCGAGTCTCGCCTTGATGTTCTTTGATACCGTCGCCTCTCCATAGCGAGCTGACGTAGAAGAAGAGATAGAGAGTCATGTTCTTTTCTTGTAACTGGTTCACGACAACCTGTGGACTGACCAGGCCATGCTGCGCCTCATCTACTAGTAGCGAAATCGCTTCCGATGTCAATTCCTGCAGCTCGGCGACAGAAGCACTACGCTTCTGTTCCTTCGAGACGCGAAGAAAGATTAATCCCGGAATATCATCAGCAACAGCATCAACCAGATGATACTCCTTGATCAGGAACATCGCCGTGTCGGCATCTTGCAGCCTTATGTAGCATTTCAGTGCTTCTCGCGGACGTCCAGCGGCAACGTGAAGCTTACCCAAACTCTCCATCACGATTCGCCAATCTCTCCCGACCTCGCCATCTTCAACACTGTCTTCACGAAGATCGCGATACTTGATCTGGTTCTCAAGTACGGTCGTGATACTCTTGATGTCGAAAAGATCGGGTGGCCACTGATCCAACAGCTCCCTTATTCTCGGCCGATTGCGTGCAGCGTAGTGGCCCAAGATTACCTCGAAGATTTCAGACTTCAACGGAGGGCTCATTTGTGTTGTCGGAATATAGTTTGTAATCTCGTCAAACTTTCCAGCACCGACAAAAGTGTAGACATACTCCTCCCATTGCTGGGCAGTACCAAGCACTTTGCCACATACTCTACCAGCACCGACCCAATCGCGAGCTTTGATCAATTGCTGGATCCAGAGCTCACCAACACGACGTTTCTCTTTTTCGACCGAAGAGTTGATCAATTTACTGGCAGAGTTCACTGTCGAAGTATCGTCGTAAAAGTCATCGGTACTCTGCTGTTTCTTTTCAGGCGTCCCGGGCCCAATCTCGGCAAGCTTCTCTGGAGATGCCGCGATGACCTCGGGATGCTCGTCTATCAGTTCCCAGGCTTCTTGGTTCTTCTCGTGTTCTAGGAGCCACGACAAATGATCCGAGAGATCTCTTTTGGTAGCCAGTATGCAGTCATAGGGACTGTGTATAAAGATTTTCATCCCTGGCACCACAATGTGTGGGTGGGCTGATGGACTGCGTGTTCCGGGTCTGCCTCGAGCACTGCTTGCTGCACTTTGCTTCGTGTCGGAGCCCTTGCTGCCATTACTCCGTACGCTGGCGCTCGAACTGAGCAGAGTCGTTGCATTAATTGTAGCATTCCACATCCCGCTGCCCATGCCCGCCAAAGTCTCTAACGTACTACGTGAGGACTGGGTTACTGAGGTAGCACGTGCAGCGGGCAGTACACCAAGATGATAGTCAGTCGCCGACAGTCTTTCAAATCGGCTGACAGTAAGGGTGTCGGTGTCGACTTCTTGGGACGAGTTGAGGTCAATGAGACGAAGCTCAGGAGACCTGGCATTCTGTCGACGACGAATACCACCGCGAGGCTCGCTGCTGGAGGAGCCTGTCGATGCCTTGGAGTTGTGTCCCTTGGGAGCTACTTCGTCCTCCTCGTCCCCTCCCGGTGTAACGTAAGCAAGTACAAGAAGCAAAGTTGGGGTATATAACGACAATCCAGAAATAATGCAATCCATGCGTAGACTGCAAGGATGGTTAGCTCATGAATATCATGGGTTTCGGGTCCTCACATTTTGATGATCTCCGGCTTTCCAACCGACCTTTCCCCAATATTTTTACCAACACCTACACCCCCAGGATGCACGTTGATGATCCATACCGTGCCTCCCCACCCCACAACCAACTTTTCAATTCGTTGGCCACTTTTCGATGCCTGCTGCTTCAACTTTGCTGTAGCAGGAGACGCGACTGATGTTTCGCGAGCTCTGTCGTCGTCGTCTGTTTCGAGACTTTTTTCGTCAATCCATTCGGCCCGTCCTTTCCAAACACCAGCCATTTCCTCCCAACCGTTATCCTGGGGCCGGTCCACATGACCTATTCTTTTCCAAGCCGACTCTAGATCTGCACTATCCAGATGTAAATGCGTCCGCATGATCTTGACACCATGCTCGTTGATCCACAAGACATATTTCCCGGAGAGTGACCATTTGATAGTACTGATAGTACCTTCTCCCGAATGCAATACTGTGTCTTTCCCAGCATTTCCACCAAGTCCAATAGCCCCTAGCCAGCCCGATGCTGTAGCGGCAGCTGTCCCTGTGGTTGTGGATTGAGAAGCCCCGGATTTTGCTCCGACTGTGAGAACGAGATTGCCTGCCAGCCCGCCAGAAATATATGTTCTGTCGTTCTTGTAGTCCGGCGAGATAGCTACCGCTTGCACCGGCCTCCCAAAATTCCTGAGCTGAACATCCTTTACATCTACCAATGACTGCACACAGACGTTCCCGTCGATTGAAGAAGTAGCAATGTATATGGCGTTGGAAGGTGTGTTCGCAATGAGCTGGGTCATTCGAGGCCCACGTGGGCTGGCCGCAGTGGCCTCCGAAGATGTCGATGGGGTCCTTCTAGGTGTTTGGGCTTGAGATACCACTCTGCTTACTGCCTCTGGAACCGGAGTCGCTCTTGGCGGAGGAAAGGGAGATATAGAGATGCTTGAGGTCGACGCGGTATGAGCCCGGTATGCTCGTAGTGGTTGGAAGGTTGGCAGTGAAAATACGTGCTTCAAAATTTCTCAGTACGTAACAAACAAGCTTCCATTGAGGACTCGACTTACGATATTTCCATTATGTGTTCCGATGATCTGTATATAGTTCAGCGTAATTCAACAAACCTCTAGCTATGGACGTACCATCTTGTCCCCCGCAACCATAAAACAGCTTGTGGCATCTCCGTTCCGGTATACCGGACCCAGATGACTCGTAAACCGGGCGTATTTCAGCTTGGGCTCGTCTTCCTCTTCGTCTTCGTCGTCGCTCTCCTCTTCGCTGTCGTCCACACTTTCTTCCTCCACCGTGTCCCGCCCATCGCGACTCTCCTCTTTCCCCTTCAGATTGCTGGTGTCGCCCTGATCCGTAGACTCTTTGGCCATGGCGGCGCACTTTGTTAATTACATCTGGTGGTGCGGGCAAGGAGGTTGAGATTCAACGACGTCAATGAAGCTTGGGGAGCTTTAGCCGAGCACGGAGCTTGTGAATCACCACTAAACATGGAGCTTATATTTATAGTTTAACAACATCTCTCCCCACGACGTGTGCGACCATCTTGAAGCTTCGTCTGGATGATGCAAAGCCTCGGGCGGCCATTCCGTGCGCCTGCAGCTCGGCGACTCCTTACAGATGGAAATCTACGCCCTCAACTGCTGAGAAGCCTCCATGCCACCGCGGCCGGACAAGCTCCCCGAAGGCGGAACTTCTTTTCATCGAATGCGAATTTGCAGCAGCAACTGCCGCCCAGTATAGAGACAGCCACAGCGACAGCGAATGACTTGCCGCCCCAGCAGAAGAGGAAATCTGTTCGCTCGCCTGCGGGCAAGACATCCCTTCGCAGAGTAGCTGTCGAAGCCCAGAGGTCGCGAGAGAGCACCACCAAGCGTCAGAATGTCGCTGCAGAAGGATCGGGCAGCAACAATGTCACGGCAATATCAGTGGCAGACCAATTCGATATGGACGCGGTAGTCCGTATCCTGCGGTCTCACGGCTTCCCAATCGACCCCGATGCGACGGGCTTCGAGATGGACCAAGTTATACATACCCGGGGAGTCAACAATGGAGACATCTTCGTCTTTCCTTCTGGATCAGTAGTGGCGTGGTCTTTGCCTGAGGATGTCGTGGCTGATCTGGCAACGAAGACCCTTTTGCCGGCCGCTGTTATACCACATACGGGACAGATGGAAATGGAGGATTTGGAATATACAGAGGATCCCAAGCGAGAGAATAGCACTATCAAAGGAGACATGATCATTCTTGGAACAAAATCTGGTCTCCAGGGTAGCAATACCGAGTCGGTCCTCTTCCACGGCCCGGCAAGATTGGCTACTAACACTACATAGCTCTCGAGTAGACACCACTCTCGCAAAGATTGCCTTCTCTTCAGGTCTTGCTAGATCAACGAAGCTCGCCGTGCTGGAAACAATGCTGAGCAGATATCTCGAGTCTACTCGAGCAATTCCCACGACTCTCTCTCGAGGTGCAAAGCTTCCGTTCAGCAGAAAATTCATGCTGCAGAAGACTGGGGAATTGCTGGAACTCCGGGCGCAACTGAATCACTACTCGGAACTGATTGACTCCTTACCGGACCTGTTCTGGGACAGTAAATATGAGTTGGGACTGGAGGGGTACTACGACCAAGTCGGACGAGCTTTGGACGTAGGAGTACGGATCAAAGCATTGAACGAGAAGTTGGATTATGCCCAGGAGATCGCTAGCATTCTCCGACAGACAATGAGCGAGAAACACGGCATTCATCTGGAGTGGATTATCATCATTTTGATCGCGGTCGAGGTGGGCTTTGAACTTAGGCATCTATGGAAAGAAAGGGTGGAACGATTGGAAAGAGAACGACTCGGGTGATATCGCGAAGAATTCCGTTGGCATGCACCTAGTCACGATGTGGGATTCGAGCATTACAATTGGAGTTCGGAGAACATTGGCATTAAGTCGTGGCGTTTATTTTCACGATACCCCGCTCCAATTCAAACAATACCTCGGCGACATCTAAATTTTCAAAAGCTCCGAAGGATTTGGCGAGGATTACCTCTTTTCCACTTCTTGTCCTATATCTAATATTCCCACTTGATAGCACTCCTTGGCAGAAGTCTTCTCCGCGTTTGGCTTCCGGCCGAGTCCAGGACGAAAGGCTTTTTCAGACAACCTTGCTCTTCCATTTCATGCTAACCTGATAGATCTCATATCCCCATCCTCTGAGCCTATTCCTGGAGTTACCAGGTGAGGCGGGCTTTCACAATCTTAGAATGCTCTTCACATTGCCGCCCCCCGTCTTATAAAGATCACCAATATGTAAGGTGGGGAGACTGGCACTGTCAAACCAGTTTGGAGGTTGGTGGCGTTGAGGAAGCGGCACCCCCGCAAACCAAACCTCGCATGGCGCTACATTTGCTGATTTTCCCCGGATCTCCACACCAAGTCAACGTGTGTGTCTCGCTTACGAAGCAAGTTATTATTCAAACGAGATGTTGGGCCGCCAGAACCCGTATCGTGGAGCTGGCACCGGTGCCTGTCAAAGAGTCAGGCCTGGCAATGTCTGACCCTTGGATCTGCAGCTAGATATAGCAACAAAACCAACTTCGACACTGGAACAAAGATCAGCATCCAGATAGTGTGCTATTGTGGTTGAGAAAGACCGTCGACCCGAGTCACGCCCCAACCCCCAGCCAGAGAGATGTTATCAAATATCACTCGCGGCTTCCCCTCTTTGTTGACGCCGCATTCGGGATCGCACCGCGTCTTCTTTACAGCCACGTTCTTTGCGGACTGATGTTGCAGTAGCGGGCCTTATATCCACGTTCCCGTATGTCGGACCTTCTGCTTGTTGCAGAATAGTCGACAGTTAAGCGACGCTATCATTTGTTGCTTCACAGCAAGCTCCATTCTCGTGCTACATAACATTTCTGTGCGCTCGAGCAGGATCCAGTGATCATGCTGCCCGTTCAATTGGGATACATTATACTTGGCAATCGTCGGTGTGCATGATCAGAGCTGAAGAGGCGAACTTACCTTTTTTATGTCTGCGTTTCCCCGCATCTCGTCTCGCATCGAGGTCTATATAATTCCTTTATTATCCACTCCCTTTCAGTTTCTGTTTTTCACTCTGCCGCACTGAATCGTATCTTCCATCTTTGGTCAGAATCCTCCACTCTCCATTCATCTCAAGTTTAAGGTCTCCTACTTCATCATGTCCTCTGATCCCGAGAAGGTGTCCATCGACTACGTCGAGCACACCGTCTCGGACGACTCCAACGAGTTGAACGATGCCCGCATCGCCAAATTTACCCTTGAAGAGCAGAGGAAAATTATCCGAAAGGTTGATTGCCGCCTTGTATTGACTCTCGGTGCTTTGTATGCCTGCAGTCTCATGGATAGAACGAATTTGGGGGCTGTCAACATTGCGGGGTATGTCGGTATAACCTTCTCACCGGAGCTTTCGTTGATGAGAACCAAGCATGTCGGAAGGCCTCAAGCTTCATGGCGAACAATACAATTTGATTGTTCTCATATTCTTTATTCCATATGTGCTATTCCAGCCACCGGCCACTGTTGTGCTTCGGAAAGTAGGGCCACGAAATTTCTTAACTACCATCGTGGTGCTTTGGGGAGGTTGTATGATTGTAGGTACTTCACTTGACCATTTTGATCCTCGCTAACGGTTCCAGGGCTTTGGTTTCGTCAAGAAATGGGACCAGATGCTCGGTCTCCGAATCATCCTCGGTGTTCTTGAAGCTGGCTTCTTCCCTGGCTGTGCCTACCTTCTCTCGACCTGGTACACAAGATATGAGCTCCAAAAGCGCAATGCAGTCTTCTATCTTATTGGCAGCATGGCATCAGCCTGTGGAGGTATCCTAGCTTATGGCGTGATGCAAATGCATGGTCTCGGAAACCTGAGCGGCTGGCGATGGATCTTTGTTGTATGTCTCCTTCCGAAGCCTCACACTCACCAATTAACAGCCCACAGATCGAAGGCCTTATAACCTGCGTCCTCGGTATCGCTGGCTACTTCCTCATCGTTGACTTCCCCGAACACGCTGCCAAATCCTTCAAGTTCCTCAACCAACAAGAAGCAGAGTTCATAGTCGCGCGCATCGAGCTCGACCGCCACGATGCCATACCCGAGCCATTTTCCATCAAATCCTATCTCTTCAACGCCCTCGACTCCAAGGTCTGGGGCTTTGCCTGCCTCTTCGGCCTCACAACCACCAACACATACGCTATAGCCTACTTCCTCCCCGTCATCCTGCGCCTAGGCATGGGCTTCGACATCGCTAAAGCCCAGTGCCTCGTCGCACCCCCCTACGTTGCGGCGGCACTAGTCATGTACTATGCGGCCGCGATTGGCGACAGATACCACATGCGTGCGCCCATCATTCTTTTCAACGCCATCCTTGGGCTCATTGGGCTCCCGCTCCTCGGCTACGCCAAGAACAATGGCGTCCGCTACTTCGGGGTCTTCCTCGCGACCATCGCCTGCAATGCCAACATCCCCGCCGTGCTGACCTACCAGGCGAACAACATCCGCGGGCAGTGGAAGCGAGCCCTCTGCTCCGCGACCCTGGTCGGCTTTGGCGGCCTCGGCGGCATCGTGGGCAGCACTGTGTTCCGAGATCAGGATGCACCAAAGTACGGGCCGGGTATCATGACGACGATGATTAGCAGCGGGCTGGTCATTGTCATTACGCTGGCTCTGACGCTCAAGTTCCACCTGGCGAATCAGAGGGTGGAGAGGGGGGGCAAGGCGATTGAAGGTCAGGAAGGGTTTCGGTATACTTTGTAGAATGGTACCGTACTAATCCGGTGTTAAGACGTCTTATTAAAAAATGAAACAGTTTTTGTAACGTCAGATTTTATTAATAGGCTGGGGCCCCACTTTTGCTTTCAAAACACCCTGATATAAGCCTCAAATTTCCCCCGCCCCTGGCCGTTTTCGGCGTTTTCGGACCCTCTCTCTCCCTCCATCGTAGATCTTGCATCACGCTCTTCGCAATAGATACGGAGGAGTACAATAGATGATCGTAGATGGAGCGTGAGATGAGACCAGGAAATGGCCGTCTCTGAACGAGATTTACCCCCTTTCCTCCACCATTGGATTCAATTAATGACCAGCCCGTAATCTCACATCGAATAATTAATTGGATTCCTCTACTCCGTCAGTTCTGACCTCACCCAGACAATAGTCTGCCTTCCCAGGGACGATCGCGTAAATTAGTTGAAGCCAATACAGCAGGGTAGAGAGATTCGATATCGTCCGATAAGCGAGGATCTGCTACAGTACTCATGAGATTCTAGTACCGGTAGGTATCTCCTTGTCGATGGGTAGCGGTACACCCAGTGACATGTTTTGAAACAAATTACGGTCGTTGTCTTGCCTGGTGCGCCGCCCTTGGTGATTTCCCTGGACGCGCGGGTTACCTGGGCTTTTTTCGTGTTTTTCTATTTTGTTCTGGATTGTGAAACTGCCATGCCTAAAACACGTCTGCTCGCATATCGTGATCTTCTCTCCCGACGAGGAAATCGGATCGGGGGGAGTTTTTCGGTTTCCTTTTTCCTTATGAATTTTTTTTTCTGGTGGATTTTTTTCCTTGTATTTTTTGTATTTTGTGTTCTGTTTGTTCTTCTTGATCTTTTTGCTCTTTTGCTCTTTTGCTCTCGCACGGTCCATGATCAAGCGTAGGTTCTGTCGATGGCCGGCGTACCGAAGGTTTGACAAGGCTTTGCCGGCTCCTTTGCAAATCATCTCAATTTAGAATAATGGCTTCCTGCCAGCGAACTCTACTACTATTCACTTCGTAATTACCGAGCTACAGTATTGTCCAAGGATTACGACCTCCCCTGTTGTTTTAACTCTCTCCAAAAGGTAGTAGTACCAGGAGAATTGCCTACAACTAAAACTACAACGTTCTTGTAGTTGGCAACTATGTCTTCTTATTTTAGTATCGGCTTTAGCGAATCCGTCGTTCTTGATCCCCTTGCTCCCCTTGCTCCCCCTCTTCCTCCTCCTTTTCCTCTTCCGTTTGCTTTTCGCCAACCTTTCCTTTCCATTCCTTTTAGTTTTTCCTTTTTCTTTTGGGAATCCTACAGTCACTACCGTCGGCAGGGCTGCTCTCGCTACTCCGTACCCTCGTACAAAACCTCCAAGAGGCGCCATCACCAAGTCAACATCTGCCAGTCAATCCAACATATTGGTGACGACACCGCTCTTTATCCCCATCTCCATTTCGCAAGGGATCTATTCCTCTTACACTCTTTCAACTTTCCTCAATGTTTCATCAACAACACTCACTTCGCGTTTGCTTTCTTCTCTCACTGTCTTTACTCCTACTCCCGGTCCATGGATTCTTTCCCACCACTTGGCGCGAGAATGTCTTCGGCGATGGCGGCACCTCCCACGTCGCCATGACGGAACGAGCCTTTGAAAACCGGGCCAAAGCCTACTTTCCCACCCTCAGCAAGATCACCAAGCAGATGAAATCGGCTCGCGACGAAATGACCAAAGCCAATGCCAAAGTCGACGACATCGAAAATCTTGCGTCCTACCACTGCGACGGCGAAAGTTTCGACGAGGCCCAAGTGCGTATCCAGGAAAAGAAGAAGGCCGCTATAGCTGCCCTCCAAGCCAATAGCCCCCTGACAGCCGTCGCTCGGGACAACATTGGGCAAGCACTTCACACGATCCAGGACTTTTACTCCCACAGCAACTGGGCCGAGTTGGGAAACCGGGAAACCAATCTGGATCTCATCCGTGGCACCAACATGAGCGAGTACGTTGCGACCTTTGAAGAACGGACGTGTGTCGATTGCAAGAAGGTGGCACGACCTTCAGACTCGCACTCGATCAAGCCGCTCGCATGTGGAGGCTTTAATTGCAGCGAAAACACCAATGGCTTTTGGAAGGTGACCAGCGGGTACCACCATAATGAAGATCGCCCTCTCAACGGTGTTCCGATCCCTGATTATAAGTGCCACCACGGTAGGTTTCCGCGGTTCGTGGAGGAAGAGGAAGCTCGTCGTCGACGATCCCCGGAGGTAGAAATGCGAATGCTGACCCGGTATACATAGGTGGACCAACCGACAATCCAGCCGGGCCCGCCATCGGCATTCTGACCGGTACGAATCCAGGCATCAACAAGGACAGCTTGAGTTGTCACTGGTCTCCCCATTCCGACTTGCACACGCCTGCCGCGACCTTGGCCACAGCGGCCACCGAGCAGTTCTTCGACGACATTAGAGACGCTCTCAATTCGGATAGGCTGCTGCGTCTCCTCTTTGGAGTCCCCAGTGTGGCATTCGCGATTGACACCTCGGCCAACATGGCCAGCGTCATCGACACCGTTCGTGACCAAGCCATCGAAGCTGCCGCATCCCTCGTCGGTACCGAAAACGAGCCTGGACTCTACATCGTCTCGCCATACAACGACCAAACCACGGGTCCCCTGACGGTAACGACCGAATTTCGGGTTTTCGAGTCTGCCATCAGAAACCTCACCACGGCCAACGGCCTCCAATGTCCCCCGCTTTCTGTCAAGGGCATAATGAACGCCATGGATTTCATGGACCAAGGATCCACCCTCATGATCTTCACCGACGCATCGGTTAAAGAAGCCAATCAATGGGTCTCCATGACGGCCGACGCGAGGATGAGACGGATTGAGATATCCGTCTTCAAGTTCGATACTGGTTGCGAGGGTGGCGGCAAAAGCTGGTTCGGGAAACGGGAAGTCGAGCAGGCCGACACGGTATACCGCGAGATCTCTGCGGCGACTGGCGGTCAGTACCACGCGGGCACCTCGTGCGATGCTTCCAAGGTCTCTGCGCACATCAAGAACACCCTCTCGGCCAATTCAGTCAGCATTCTGCGTGTTGCAAGCTCGCTGACAGCAGGACCCGAGACTTTCAACGTCCCCGTTGACTCTTACACCACCAGCCTGAGCATCACTCTCCTGGCTGCCGAGTTTAATCTGACCGTGAGCCAGCCCGACGGTACTGCGCTGACCCCCGACTCGGCGGGAGTGACATGGACCACGTTCTCCTCCAGCATAACCATCACCGTCGCCACGCCCACGCCCGGAACATACCTGGTTGGCGTTGTTGGCGTTGGTTCGTACGCCTTGAGCTGCAACGGCGTCTCGGAGCTCCACCTCAACTCTTTCCAGTTCGCCAGTATCGGCGGCCGCGCCAGCCATACGGGATGGTTCCCCCTGAGCGGACCTCCCCCACACAACCAGAAGATCGGCGCCATGGCCCAGATGTCCGAAGAAGCCACGAGCGCGAATTTCACCTTCCGCGCTCCGTCGTCCGCCCTTCTGGGCACGGCGTGTTTGGAAGCCGGAAATGGCGAGGTGGGCTATCCTGCCACCAACGAGTTCTTCGCGATCCTCACGGTCCCGGACCAAAACTTCCTGGTCTATGTCACGGGCAAGGACGACCAGGGATTCCCGTACCAGCGCGTGTTCGGGGCCCCCGTCGCCCCCATTCTGGCGACCCAGCCGTACCCTCTGTCCTGGAAGGAGGCTTCCAAACTGCGGGACAACGCGAACCGGCCTCACAAAGTGACGACGACGGCGAGCCGATGGAGCAACGACACCACGCCGAGGACAGCCACGTCGCCCACCCACCCTTCCTCGACCGCGGCCATGGAGGTCTACGCGCCCGTCCCCACGGATGGGTACCCGCCGGCTGCTGGAGTTCCCTCTCCCGAAACGATTCCTTCTCCCGTGGCACCTCCGCCTCACGCTCCTTACGCGGCGCCGTCGCTCACCGCGCCCCCCGCGGGAAACGCCACCTCGCCCAGGCCCGGCTCCCCGACCCACAGTCAGATCTACGTGACGGCGTCGGGCAACCGGCAGTTCACCCCTCTCATCATCGGCCACGTGACGCTGGCTCTGGCTTCCGTCGGCTTGATCCTCGCCCTGTAATGAAAATGAGAATAAAAAAAATAAACAATAAAGATAAAAAATAAAAATAGAAAGTTAAATCCTCAGCGACCAGCTCACTCACACACACGATCCGAAAGAGAGAGAGAGAGAGAGAGAGAGAGAGAGAGAGAGAGAGAGAAGAA